CCTTGTAAAGAGTCTCATGAAGTACAACAGAAAAAAAGATCCTCCCTCTGGAGATAAACGAAACTACAAGTATTAAGCTGTGTTTTCTATGATTACTGAGTCAGTTTAATATTAAAAATGCTCGAAATGCCAACCATCATTAACAATGTCTGGGTGGCATAAATGTCCTTGTAAAGAGTCTCATGAAGTACAACAGAAAAAAAGATCCTCCCTCTGGAGATAAACGAAACTACAAGTATTAAGCTGTCTTTTCTATGATTACTGAGTCAGTTTAATATTAAAAATGCTCGAAATGCCAACCATCATTAACAATGTCTGGGTGGCATAAATGTCCTTGTAAAGCGTCTCATGAAGTACAACAGAAAAAAAAGATCCCCCCTCTGGAGATAAACGAAACTACAAGTATTAAGCTGTGTTTTCTATGATTACTGAGTCAGTTTAATATTAAAAATGCTCGAAATGCCAACCATCATTAACAATGTCTGGGTGGCATAAATGTCCTTGCTTTGTTGCAGTTCTAATATTGACAAGGTTTGGCTAGTGTGAACTTATACTCCTCATATTAGACCAGTAATGACTTGTTTGTAGTAACTGCTTCACGATCGACAGGAAAATCAAATGAGTACCAAACGTCGTAATATTCGACTTGTATTTGCATAATACGGTGCGATTAAATTGCGCGAGAATTAGCTCGGTAAACTAAACAAACCAGTTTACTGCCGCCGGTGCAAACATCGAGTAATGACGCTATTGTGGTTTCGTGCTAGGAACTGCAAAGTAAAGTTAGCTAACCAGCTTTTTCCCAGTGTTTTTCTGTTTGTCCTTGCCACGTGCGCCACGCCGCCATAAGTTCCACGTTTATAGCTCATCAGAGCTTTTTACCGGGAAAACGTATGTTATACTGGAATGAATAGTGTCGCTTGTGTGGAATACGAACGAGATATTTTAATAAACGCTGGCTGGGATGTTACGGAAATATTTTTTTATTCGTGTTAGCTAAACCTTTTTCACAGCTTCCTCGAGTTTCCCACTTCGTCAGCAGCTCCAAAGAAAAAGGCCAGTGTTATTATAATTAAGAAAAAGCGGCATGTTTATCCCTTTCTTTTCTCTGAAGTGATTGCCTCACTCTTCCCGAAGAAGACAGGTAGCTTCCCGCGGAGCTGTGGACGACACAATCGTCTATCGTTCCCTTGGGTCATGCAAAAACTTCTCACGTGCATACGTTGGTCAGCAGTTAGTGACCACATGTTTCGCTCTCCTATTTCCCGCAATGTCACTCAACTTCGAGCTTTGCCAAAGTAGTTACTTGATTGGTTGAGTCCTAGTCACATGATTGCAGCCTCCTGTCGACCGTCAGCTTCATCACAATGACAGACTACTGTCAGAATGCAATAAAATTGACAAAGTGCCTCACAATGCAGAAAACGTTTTATGATACACATAGAACATCTAACTGTCTGGGTTTTTACAATCAGCCACCACTCATGACTAACGGTTTTGGAGACTACATCACCGAACCCCCACAACAACAACAACAGCGCTTTTATGACTTTCGCCACTCAGAAGAAAATGTGCAGTATAGACAACAATCGTACACTGTGCACGACCAATCTCGGCGGTTCGGTATGGACATCGCACAGCAAACTGGACAATGTCCAGAAACCCCATCACCACCGTACGTGTCCGCACCGTATGGTGAACACTCTCAGCTAGCCGATGGTCAGTGTCGTCTTCAACATTCACATCAGTTTGTCAACCACATCAGCATATTTCCGGAGAATCAAACAGAAATCTACCCCTGGATGCGTGATTCACGGCAAACACTCAAGAAGAAACAACATTTATCCACGTCAAGCCATCCTCATCGGGTCGAGCCAGTAGCAGGTAGGACTAAGTCATTACGGATTGATAGATGGCTGCAATAGTCGCTGTAAATGCCATTGGGTTCCATTAAGGGCTCTAATGGTGAGAAACGTACAGAGACATTTAATGTTCACTTGTTTAAATTTTTTCCCTTGATTTATTTATATCATAATTATGGATTTTGTGTATAGAAATTATGTGTGGATTTATTATAAAGATAAGTTTAATTTTCCTTTATTGACAAATGTCTGTATAAAAAAAACAACAACAACGAATTAATGGCTTCTGATCCAACTTCAGTTGGAACCAACATTTTTAGGCTTAGAAAAGTTACCTCGCCAGTTACCATGATATAGACTGGTGTTCCACTTTAAAAATAAGAATAATAACCCGCGATTTTTGTGCGTCAGAATCGATCCTGTATTGATATGTATGTGTCAGAGTGTATGTTATATATTGACACGTATGTGTCAAAGTGCATCATGTATTGATATGTATGTGGCAGAGTGTGTACTGTACTAACAAGTATGTGTCAAAGTGCATCATGTATTGATATGTATGTGTCAGAGTGTGTACTGTACTAACAAGTATGTGTCAAAGTGCATCCTCTTTTGATACGTATATGTCAAAGTGCGTCTTCTATTGACACGTATGTAACTAGTCACCAGTAGAGAAGGTACAACTTATACTTTGTATGTACAAGTAATTCAAAGTACCTGGTGGGTCATAGTAATCCCCCCCATACCCTCCCAAGTAGAGATACTAAGGATATTAGTTCTGTTGTATTTCATGAGACCCTTTACAGACTCGCATCATGTAAAGTACGGTGATCGGTACGGTAATAGTAGAACTGCAACAAAGCAAAACTTGAGTCATGTAAAGAC